GGGTGCGGGTTTGATCCCTGGTTGGGGAGCTAAGATTCCACATGCCTCGCAGCCATAAAACCAAAACATAAAACATAACAGAAGCAATATTGTAACACATTCAATAAAGACTTTAAAAATGGTCCACATCCAAAAAAATAAAAAGAAAGAAAAAGGGATACTGACCATGAAAGGGCAAAAGCAGGGATGTGCCCTTTTTCAGTGCTGACCAAGTGCTGGCCAAGAGCCAGAGGTGGGGTCAGGTTACCACCAAAGGGACACAGTCCTACTTTCATGGAGTGGATTTGAGTTTGGGAAATTGTTAAGTTATTTGGAATGTGTTAGGTAAATGTGGTGGGTAGTCTAGCTGGGCAGTGCTCTTTGGGGTCCAATGTAGATGGTACATCAGTAGGATGTGATTCAAACTGACTCTGTAGGAACCGTTCCCCAGGACAGCCCTCAGAGAATCCATGCAGTGCTGCAGTAGGGGCTGTGCTGAAGGTCGGTGGTCACTATATTTGCGTGAAACACCATATTTGTTTCATTTGTGGAAGGATATCATTACTTTGCTGTCATTTTTCCCCATTTAAAAATTTCATTCTTGGCTGTGTGACTTAAAAGAATGCCCCTCCTCTTCTTTTCCTCTTCATTTGCCCAGATCCCACCAAGAACTCAGGAAATTCCATGCCTTGTATCTATTCATTATTTTACCTTTTTGTAAATACTTTCAGATGATTGTCACAGTGAACCCTGTGTCCACTTGTAGTCGAAAGGACAGTAATCTCCTCTCCCATCGTCATCTCGTAATTATGAAATACTTGGATGGCCAGAAGTGCCCCAATTCGCCTCTGCCTCCAGCGTCTCTTCCTGCCAATCTATCCAGATCTTTCTGAAATGCAAATCTGGTCAGGTTTCTCCCCTGCCTAGCTCCCTAAGACTAGGAGATAAAGCCCACACTTTTTGCCTTGTGTGCAAGACCCTTCATAACTCAGCTCCATTCTAGCTGACATTTTCAGCCTCGCCTCCAGTCTTTCCTCCTCTGTCCCCTTCACTGTTCCTTCATCAATAGCCTCTGTCCCACCCTTATGAGGACACTATTTATTTATTTAATAAATACAATAAATAAATAAATAAATTTATTTATTTATTTATTAAATAAATACTATTTATTCTGTCCCTTTGCCTGTGTTGATTTATCTACCAGGTATTCCTTATCCCTTCAACCAGTCTCTTACTTAAATTTTAAAATAGTTTCATAAAACCTGCTTCTGAAGTCTTCCCCACCCTGTCTCCTAGCCACAAGAACTGACCTGCCCCTCCTATTTCCACCTCAGTGAGCAATCCTGCTGTAGATGATATTCACTGCAATATACCTTAATTGTTTGCATGTATTGCTCCATGACCAGCGTGGAAGCCACTATGCCCATCACATCTCTCTCTTTCTCCAGGGCTTAGCATGTTATTTCCTTCAGTGAGTGCGTGACAGATGCTGGAGGGAGGAAGTGTGGAAAGAAGCGGGGGGAAACAGAAGAATGGAGGGTGGGAAGATGAAATGTCAGGCAAAAGGAACACAGCATCCTTTGGTAGGCAAGAGCACAGGGCTCTGGGGTCCAGTCCTGCCTGGGCAGATGACTAGCTATGAGACCAGAAGTCAGTTATTTAACCTTTCTAAATTCTTTATCAAGAGGAATCGTGATAGTTTTTGAATGGGGTGTCATGCAGAGTAAGTGAGATAAAATATATCAAGAGCCTATGCTGCGGTCAGAGCTCCATTATATCCTGACTGTGTCCTATGGGCCTGCCTCTGTGCCAGGCATTCACTGGCTGTTCAGAGGGCAACAAAAGACATTATATGTGCTCCTGTGAAACTTAGAGAGATAAGACTCTGTTAAATAAAGGAATAAACAGTGGCTACCAGGGAGGAATGAATGAATACAGAACAGCATGAGTAAGCAAAAAACCAACAGGTAAACCAAAGCCCCGCCAGACTGTCCCTGTTGCATGTGTTTAGGTGGGTGCCTATGAAGACACACCTGGAAAAACACAGATGGTGAAAGTCCACAGGGGTAGGAGGAGCACACCGGCCGGGAAGCAGGACGCTGAGATTGACGTCATCCAGACAGAGGACTGCCCCAAGGACCCCAAGCTGGCCAGACACTCCGATGGCCACTGTGAGTGTGTTTCTTCCTGGTTCTCTTCACCATTATCGAATTATTTTAAAGCTGTGTGGGACCAAAATTTTAATTTCTTTTATAAATATTTACTGAGCATCTATTATACACAAAGTCACTTGCCTGAGTGAGGCAGCTGTGCAAGAGTGAACAATCACTGGATTTAGAAGTAGAAGGCCTGTGTTCAAACCTAGGCTCTCATACTTATTAGCTATGTTACATAGTAACTCTATATTCCTTCATATTCCTCAGTTTCCTCATTTATAAAAAGGGGGATGATAATATAGATCAAACTGGGGTTTGGTGAGGACCAAATCTGACATATGTTACACAATAGGTGCTCAGCAAATGTTGCTGATTTCTTCTTATATGTACCGGCTCCTATTGTTCTTTGTAGACCCAAGACATTGACACACTGATGACATAGTATGACATTATTCTTTGACTTTATTCAAGTCGCATTTTACTTTCATGTGAGTCCAGACTCTTGATGGCAAGTAATCCAATCATAGTGTGTTAAGCAAAAGAGGAAAAGGAGGCTCACCTAGCAGAAGGTTTGGGCATGGCTGGACCCAGGGATACAAACAGTATCACAAGGACTCAGTATTACTTTTTCTACTCCTGGCTTTGCTCTCCTCCCTCTTGTCTCCATTTTCAAGCAGACTGTACCCTTGTGGAGGCAAGATGGCATCTAGCAGTGACAGGCTTACGCACTCTCTGTCCTCTTAGGAGCCCCAGAAGAAAACTAGAAGTGGTTATCCTCTCAACAGGTTCAAGAAAAGGGCCCAGATTTGAGTCTTGTTGGCTTGATTGTGTCACATGCCAACCCCTATCCAGTTATCGTGAATGTGGGATAGGATGGTCTGACGGACCCAGCCAGTGTCATAAATTCACATCTGGAGCTGAAGGTAGAATTAGTTCTACCCAAACGGTATCATTTCAGACTGAAGGATTTCCCAAGGAAAATTAGAAAGCTGTTATCATGAAAAAACAGTAGACACTGGGTAGGCAAAACAGATGTCTACTCCAGCCCAATAAGCCATGGCAAACATTTCATAATGTGTTATAATCAGAGTGATGAGAATACATTGCAATCATAAGATGGACTCAGGCCCTATAAAGTGTCCCTCCAGGCTAGATGGCTGCATCCCTGCCACCCACCTCCTTCCCAATATACTCTTTATTCTAAGTTAACTGACTATGTCATGTGCTTTAGTGCCCCTATAACTTTGCTTGACCTCTTTCCTCTGTCTGAGATGGTTTTATGCCCATTCTTTACCTGCTGATGTCCTAGTCATCTTTCAAGATCTATCTCAGAAGTCACTTCTTCTGAGGCCTTCCTTACCTCCATCCTCCTCTTTCCCACTCTCCAGAGACCATAATCGCTCACTCTTAACAGCAACCAAATGACCACTTTTCCATATTAGGTTTCAGAGTCAAGCATTTCTGGGACCCAGAATTACTATGCATTAATCCTACATCCTTGGGAAATTTACTTACTTTTATATACACAGGAGGGTAGTACTATTTATTTCCCAGGGCTCTTTGTCAATGCATATAAAGTACGTGGTTCATCGCTACATAACTGTCAGTTCTCTTTATTTCCTTTTTTTTTTAAAAAAAATTACAGTATGCCTTACATTATAATTCATGGTGTACATGTTTGTTTCCCACAGTACACAGTGAGCACCATGGGATCAGAGACCATTTGATATATTTCTCTGTATCTCTGCAACCTGGCACAGTGGATATACCCAACAAAACTTTGTTAAAGGGAGGAATGAAAGAATAAATCAAACTTCAGTGAGAGAGAATGGTAGATTTGATCATCTGAATGATTCTCCTGACTAAAACAAGCAAAGAATAATTTTTTTTGGAAAATTCATAAAAGTATAACAGAACTGATTTAAAAGGAAGCATCCACATACCTGCAGTAACCAGGAACCCTGGGCAATGAATGAGTGCCAAAGCTACACTGGCCCTGAGGGTTTTCACTGAGCTCTGAATCCCTTGGGCTCTGGTTTTGACTGCATGGTGTACAGAGGACAGGAGCTATAACCCAGGGCTTGCCCAAAGTGAGTTTATAACAAGACCTCAAAGAATTATGTCCACACAGAATTAATAGGAATGTGCCTACTCTTAACAGTACTATATGGTGTACTTATAAATTTATTATAAAAGTAGACCTCAAGTGTTATTAACACAATAAAATTTAGAAAAAATAAAGAAATGGGACAAATAAAAAAAGACATTTCTAATGAGATAAATGACACATGAAAAGCACAGAGGTAGTGTTGAATCTAAAACCACACCTTAAGATTAGAAGTGGATAGACTAATTTGGAGTGTAGAAAAAAGTGGAAGGGGGGAAAACAAGCTGAAGTGAATAAAAGAGTTAAAGGAGAGGCCTAAATATGGGGCTGAAAACCATTTTCAAGCAATTAAGTACTGTCCATGAAGAGTCACTATAGATTTGGGAATTACACTATGTTGAAAACAGCCTGAAGAAGATTCTTCTAAGTAATCTGTACATACTGCTAAAGTACAAAGGGAGTTTGTGCTAAACCCATTTAATAGTTCTCTGCAATAGTTCCCTACTCTCTTGTGATGAGAAGCACAAAATGTTTAGTCAAGGAAAGTGGGTGTGAAAACAGAGAGGAAAGTTTTGAGGAAAAAAAATACAGTTGAGTGTCTTTCTATACTCCCTCTATACAAATGGGCCTCTTTTGAAAAAAATAAGAAGAATTACTTCCTTCCATTAAAAGAAAAGAAGAATTAATAAGACAAACCCCAGGGAGCAGAAGGAAATTTGCCCATTTTGCCCCTGGTGCTGGGTAAAGGGAAAAAAATCTGTTACCATAGCTGATCCTCATGCACACATTGGGAAAATTCACTGATCTATACTCTTATGATTTGTGCCCTTTCCTGTGTTATACTGTAATTATAATTTTAACTTTACTAAGGTAACTGTCAAAAGATAGACACAGCATGTAAACTTTCCAAATAAATAAAAAAGAAAAACAGAATGAAGAAAAGAGAAGAAACCTCAGTCCATCAAGCACAAGGAAAATGAGGGAAAAATAGAACAACTAAAAAGTATGTAATAAAATACTAGATATAAATTTCAAAATATCAGTAAACCCTATAAACATGAAACTCTCTAATTAGAGGACATATGCATTCAAATCATTCAATATTAAAAAATATTTGAGTAGCTTTTATGTCCCCAGCATTGTTCTAGGTGCTGGGGATATAGCAGTAAATAAACCAGACAAAAATTCCTGTCCTCATGGAGATTACATTCTGATCTGAGGAGACGGATGGTAAATATATACACGATAAAATATTCACTATGTGGAGTGGTAGTAAATACTATAGAAAAAAATAATGAAGCAAAAAAAGAGAATTAGGGGTCTTCCCTGGTGGTGCAGTGGTTAAGAATCCACCTGCCAATGCAGGGGACACAGGTTCAAGCCCTGGTCCTGGAAGATCCCACATGCTGCAGAGAAACCAAGCCCATGTGCCACAACTACTGAGCCTGCGCTCTAGAACCTGTGAGCCACAACTACTGAGCCTGAGTGCCACAACTACTGAAGCCTAGAGCCCGTGCTCTGCAACAAGAGAAACCACCACAGTGAGAAGCCCACACACCGCAGCGAAGAGTAGCCCCCGCTTGCCACAACTAGAGAAAGCGTGCACGCAGCAACGAAGACCCAATGCAGCCAAAAACAAAATAAATACATTTTTAAAAAAAAAAGAAAAAGAGAATTAGGGAGGCAGGTGGAGGAAGTGGAAGTTGCAATTTTAAAGTGCACACAGATGACCTCAAAGATGTAAAGTAGGTGAGGAATAGAGCCATGGCTATCCAGAATGTTCTAGGGAGAGAGGAAAAGGAGTGCAAATATCCCAGGGCAGGAGTCTACTAGATGTGTTGGTAGAATAGCAAGGAGGCCAGTGTAGCTGGAGCAGTGACTGAAGGAGACTGTAGGAGGAGATGAGGTCAGAGAGATAACATGGGGCCAGATAATATAGGGGCTTCTGTAGACCATTGCAAGAACTTTGGCATTTATTATGAGATATATATATATTTTTAATAACATTGAAAGGTTTTGAGCACAAGAATAGAACGATCTGACTTGTATTTTAAAGAATCATATCTCGGCTGCTGTCTTGAAAGAAGAATGTAAAAGAACCTGGGACCTGTTAGGAGTTTGTTGCAAGAATTTAACTGAGAGACGATGGTAGCTTGGAGGAGGGTACTGCAGTCGAGTTGTTGAGATATGCTTGGATTCAGGATTTAGATCGAAAGTCAAGCTGACAGATGGCTGTGGATTGGAGGTGGGACATGAGAGAGAAAGGAGTCAAGGATGTCTTCAGGGTTTGGACCTGAGCAACTGAAAGGTTGGGGTTGCTACTCTTTGTTGATATGGGGCAGACTTCAGGAAGAGCACATTCACAGAGAGAAAGCAAGAGTTTGGTTTGGAATGTAATGTGTTGAGACGACCAAATGGAAATGGTGTGAAGGTTGAACTCACGAGAGATGTCTAAGTTAGGGATGTAACTTGGGAGTTGTCTGTTTTTAAAATGAAGCCATAAACATTTTTCAATACATCTGCCTCAAAAAGGAAGGAGTAAGAAAGAAAAAAATTGTCCTGAAGTAAGAATTAAGCAACTGTGTGTTCAGCGTCTTTGCTTTGTGCTGGAGAAACATACCGATAACTCCGTAAGAAAAAGTAGGGCCTTTATGCCTCTGGGAGCTGACATTCATTGAGACAGTTTGGGGCCTATATGCTAACTGACTTCTTGTCAGAGGATAAAATCTTGTTGCTTGGTGCCTTTAATTAATAGACAAAAGTCAGGGCTTCCCTGGTGGCGCGGTGGTTGAGAGTCCACCTGCCGATGTAGGGGACACGGGTTCGTGCCCCGGTCTGGGAAGATCCCACATGCCGCGGAGTGGCTAGGCCCGTGAGCCATGGCCGCTGAGCCTGCGCATCCGGAGCCTGTGCTCCATACCAGGAGAGGCCACAACAGTGAGAGGCCCGCATACTGCAAAAAACAAAACAAAAAAATAGACAAAAGTCAGAGAGTCCCATACAGGATAAATCCAAGGAGAAACACGCCAAGACACATATTAATCAAACTATCAAAAATTAAATACAAAGAAAAAATATTAAAAGCAGCGAGGGAAAAACAACAAATAACGTAACCTTATGTTAACATAACATAAGGTTAACAGCTGATCTTTCAGTAGAAACTCTGAAAGCCAGAAGGGAGTGACAGGACATATTTAAGGTGATGAAAGGGAAAAACCTACAACCAAGATTACTCTACCCAGCAAGGATCTCATTCAGATTCAACGGAGAAATTAAAATCTTTACAGACAGGCGAAAGCTAAGAGAATTCAGCACTACCAAACCAGCTTTACAACAAATGTTAAAGGAATTTCTCTAGGCAGGAAACACAAGAAAAGGAAAAGACTTAACAATAACAAACCGAAAACAATTAAGAAAATGGTAATAGGAACATACATGTTGATAATTACCTTAAATGTAAATGGATTAAATGCTCCAACCAAAAGACATAGACTGGCTGAATGGATACAAAAACAAGACCTGTATATATGCTGTCTACAAGAGACGCACTTCAGGCCTAGGGACACATACAGACTGAAAGTGAGGGGATGGAAAAAGATATTCCATGCAAATGGAAATCAAAAGAAAGCTGGAGTAGCAATTTTCATAACAGACAAAATAGACTTTAAAATAAAGACAATTACAAGAGACAGAGAAGGATACTACATAATGATCAATTATGAAGGGATCAATCCAAGAAGAAGATATAACAATTATAAATACTTATGCACCCAACATAGGAGCACCTCAATACAAAGGCAAATGTTAACAGCCATAAAAGGAGAAATCGACAGAAACACAGTCATAGTAGGGGACTTGACAGATCATCCAAAGTGAAAACAAATAAGGAAATACAAGCTTTAAATGATACATTAAACAACATGGACTTAATTGATATTTATAGGACATTCCATCCAAAAACAGCAGATTACAATTTCTTCTCAAGTGCTCTTGGAACATTCTCCAGGATAGATCATATCTTGGGTCACAAATCAAGCCTTGGTAAATTTAAGAAAATTGAAATCATATCAAATATCTTTTCCGACCACAACACTATGAGACTAGAAATCAATTACAGGGAAAAATCTGTAAAAAATACAAACACATGGAGGCTGAACAATAGACTACTAAATAACCAAGAGATCACTGAGGAAATCAAAGAGGAAATCACAAAATACGTAGAGACAAATGACAATGAAAACACGACAACCCAAAACCTATGGGATGCAGCAAAAGCAGTTTAAGAGGAAAGTTTATAGCAATACAATCCTACCTCAAGAAACAAGAAACATCTCAAATAAAAAACCTAACCTTACACCTAAAGCAATTAGAGAAAGAAGAACAAAAAAACCCCAAAATTAGTAGAAGGAAAGAAAGCATAAAGATCAGATCAGAAATAAATGAAAAAGAAATGAAGGAAACAACAGCAAAGATCAATAAAATTAAAAGCTGGTTCTTTGAGAAGATAAACAAAATTGATAAACCATTAGCCAGACTCATCAAGAAAAAAAGGGAGAAGACTCAAATCAATAGAATGAGAGATGAAAAAGGAGAAGTAACAACTGACACTGCAGAAATACAAAGGATCGTGAGAGATTACTACAAGCAACTATATGCCAATAAAATGGACAACCTGGAAGAAATGGACAAATTCTTAGAAAAGCACAACCTTCCGAGACTGAACCAGGAAGAAATAGAAAAGATAAACAGACCAATCACAAGCACTTAAATTGAAACTGTGATCAAGATAGTATGGTACTGGCACAAAAACAGAAATATAGATCAATGGAACAGGATAGAAAGCCCAGAGATAAACCCACGCATCTATGGTAGTTGATTAGTTAATCTATGAATAAGGAGGCAAGGATATACAATGGAGAAAAACAATCTCTTCAATAAGTTGTGCTGGGAAAACTGGACAGCTACATGTAAAAGAATGAAATTAGAACACTCCCTAACACCATACACAAAAATAAACTCAAAATGGATTAAAGACCTAAATGTAAGGCCAGACACTATAAAACTCTTAGAGGAAAACATGGGCAGAACACTCTGACATAAATCGCAGCAAGGTCCTTTTTTATCCACCTCCTAGAGAAATGGAAATAAAAACAAAAATAAACAAATAGGACCTAATGAAACTTAAAAACTTTTGCACAGCAAAGGAAACCATAAACGAGACAAAAAGACAACCCTCAGAATGGGAGAAAATATTTGCAAATGAAGCAACTGACAAAGGATTAATCTGCAAAATATACAGGCAGCTCATGCAGCTCAATATCAAAAAAAAAAAAACCCCATACAAAAATGGGCAGAGGACCTAAATAGACATTTCTCCAAAGAAGATATACAGATTGCCAACAAACACATGAAAGGATGCTCAGCATCTCTAATCATTAGAGAAATGCAAATCAAAACTACAATGAGGTATCACCTCACACCAGTCAGAATGGCCATCATCAAAAAATCTACAAACAGGGCTTCCCTGGTGACGCAGTGGTTGAGAGTCCGCCTGCCGATGCAGGGGACATGGGTTCGCGTCCTGGTCCGGGAAGATCCCACATGCCGCGGAGCGACTGGGCCCGTGAGCCATGGCCGCTGAGCCTGCGCGTCCGGAGCCTGTGCTCCACAACGGGAGAGGCTACAACAGTGAGAGGCCCGTGTACCACAAAAAAAAAAAAAAAAAAAAAGTCTACAAATAATAAATGCTGGAGAGGGTGTGGAGAAAAGGGAGCCCTCTTGCACTGTTGTTGGGAATGTAAATTGATACAAACACTATGGGAACAGTATGGAGGTTCCTCAGAAGTCTAAAACTAGAACTACCATACGACCCAGCAATATAACTACTGGGCATATACCCTGAGAAAACCATAATTCAAAAAGAGTCATGTATCACAATGTTCATTGCAGCTCTATTTACAATAGCCAGAACATGGAAGCAATCTAAGGGTCGATTGATAGATGAATGGATAAAGATGTGGCACATATATACAGTGGAATATTACTCAGCCATAAAAAGAAACGAAATTGAGTTATTTGTAGTGAGGTGGATGGACCTAGAGACTGTCATACAGAGTGAAGTAAGTCAGAAAGAGAAAAACAAATACTGTATTCTAACACATATGCGTGGAATCTAAAAAAAAAAAAAAAGGTTCTGAAGAACCTAGGGGCAGGACAGGAATAAAGACACAGACGTAGAGAATGGACTTGAGGACACGGGAAGGGGGAAGGGTAAGCTGGGATGGAGTGAGAGAGTGGCATGGACATATATACACTACCAAATGTAAAATAGATAGCTAGTGGGAAGCAGCCGCATAGCACAGGGAGATCAGCTCAGTGCTTTGTGACCACCTAGAGGGGTGGGATAGGGAGGGTAGGAGGGAGACGCAAGAGGGAGGAGATATGGGGATATATGTATATGTATAGCTGATTCACTTTGTTATAAAGCAGAAACTAACACACCATTGTAAAGCAATTATACTCCAATAAAGATGTAAAAAAAGATAAAAGTCAATGTGCTTATTGTTATTTCTCAGATATATTTCTTATTTCTGATTAATAGTTCATGTCTGCAAATGGTTCTGAATCACCCATACTGTAAATATTAACCTATGCCAACTGATAAAAAGGTGACAGTTTTAGGGTTATGACAAGTTTACAGCTCTGTGAAATAAACCAGCTTCTGCATGTAA